GGCCATTGTATGTGTGTATGTCTGTATACGTGTGTATGTGTGTGCATGTGTATGTGTGTATGTATGTGTGTGTACATGTATGTGCGTGTATATGTGCGTGTATGTGTGTATGTGCATGTATGTATGTGTATGTATGTGTGCGTATTTATATGTATGTGTGTATGTGTGTGCATGTGTATGTTTGTGTATGTGTGTGTGTATTCTTGTATCTGTGCGTACGTATGTGTATGTATATGTGCGTGTGTACGTGTGTGTGCGTGTGTGTGTCTATGTTTTCGTCTATACCGATTTTTTTAAGACTTTGGCTTAATTGTGCACCTGACTTTTTGCATTCATTTTTCTGCACAAACGATTTTGTCATTCTATCAGCACAAAGTTTTGTTGCGGAAAATTTGAGGGGCAAACTGCATTTATTTGCTCGAGGAGCGTGCTAGACCAATGGCGCGATGCATAAATACAGCTAAGTGCAGTGCTTTTAGAAATGTGATCGTGTTTTCGAAGTAACACTGAAAGATGGCCGAGTGTTGGAGTTGCCGTACAATAAAGGTGAAGATGTAAATTGGGCTGTACAACGTTTCGTCGAACGACACAATCTTCCGATGGGGACATGGGCTAGCGTAAGTTAAACCTTAAAGCCGTGGTTCATCTTTACGTATCATTATTGCATTTTTCTAGATTTACTGGATTTTTCCAGATTTTTCTAGATTTCCTAGAAATATAGCTTTCTAGATTTTCTAGATTTAGATTTTTCTAGATTTCTAGATTTTTCTAGATTCTAAATCTAGATCAAGTTATCAGTTTTTCGAGATTTGCCATTTTTCACAAGTTTATTGATGCCGCCGTTAGATCCTTGATGATTAAGATGCTACCGGTTGCTTGTGACTGATATATAGGGCTGAAAAACGACTGAATAGCGTTTTCGTAACAAACCATAGTGTTGAAAGTAATAGTAATATTGGTAACAGTAAATATCAATAGCAATAATAACGATAATGGTAATAATAACAATGATGATGATGATGATAATGATGTTAATAATAATGACAGTTCTACAGGTTCTAAAGTTTGCCATTAAGGCAATTGGACATGAAGAACGATTGAATGGCATTTTCGTAATACACCATAGTGGTGGAAATAATTGTAATGTTCGTAATAACAAACGTAGTGATAATAATAGTAATGAAGATAGCGATAATGTGAATGGTAATAATAATAGTAATAATAACAGTAATAACAATGACAATAATAATGACAATAATAATAATGATAATAATAGTAATAATAATAATGATAATAATAATGATGATAATAATAATGATAATAATAATAATAATGATAATAATAATAATAATAATAATAACAATAATAATAAAGATTATGCATATTTTAAAATATGGAATTATTTAAAGGAAATTGGGGCAATAGAAAAATCAAAGGGGTATATAGTGAGGGTAAAAAAATTATATGATTACCTAATATCTTGCTGCGCTGACTGGAACGCCGACTGATGTAAAGCTTTTGATAGCACAGAGAGTTGAAGTTGCATGGTAGATTTACTGAATTTTTACCGCTTCTAAAATTTTGTCAAAGCTAAAATCAAGCCTCCTCTGCCCTCGCTATCTGGGAGAAGCGAGAGAACGCCAAAGTTGTCGGAATGAAAGCACTTGTGACAACAGCAACCACTCGCTGGCAAAACTGTCAGTGGCTTTCCCTCCCGAAAGTTGCTTAGAAACAATCTAATGGCTCTTTTCTTTTTTTATTTGACATATACCAGTACCAATTTACCATCGAAATGAATGAACGAATCGTAGAGAGGGATATGGATTGTGTAATTGGCATTCGAACCTTTGACCTTCCGCAATAGAATATGAAAATTGCCGTAGTACCACCAGTTGCGCCCTTGACCTTCCTCCTCTAGTTATATTATTTGAAATATTTAAGCTTAAGAAGTTATCGCTGCCTTCTACTTGTACTTTTTTTTTTCAAAAATTTCTATTTTGTGCTGGTTTTCCAAACTTAAAAGCGCCTTTTTCGCTGGCTATAAGTTAAACTGGACAGCTGGGCTTTTAATCGCAGAATATAATTTACAGCTTGTCCGCTTTCTTCAAGAGCAGCTCGCTGAAGCTGAGGGCAACTCACACAATGATTCTGCGCGCTTTTCCGATCCATTTGTAGGTTTGTGTTTTTCGTGATACCTTGAAATTTTTGATACGAAATTACTAATAAAAACTGTAGCGTTCCATATACGATACCTCAAAATTGTGAGATCTCCCGGCAAGCAGGGCCTTGGGGAAAGGGGGAGGGGGAGG